CTTTACCATGTGCATAAGATTCATATCCCTTGATCCAGTTTCTAGTGCATATCAGAGCTTGCACATTTTCTGGAAGTAGACGGCTCCTATATTTGTTTAGCACTCGCGATCCAATACTAAAGGAGGACTCCGAAGCCACTGTTGTGATTGGAATACTTAGCAGATCACATGCCATTGCAGCCAAATCACCATACCGATGAGCATTATCCTTCCACCAATTGAGGATGTCCAAGCTCTCGAAATTAGTGATGTCCAAAGGAGGAGGTTCATCAAGATAAGCTTCTAGAGGTGTCTTGCCACTAACAACACCACTGACTTTTTGAAATGCAAAAAAAATCCTAAGAATGTTTAAACAAATATGAGAGGGGTAAAAAAAATAAACAGAAGGGAAAAATTTGATATTGCACTCACATCGTAGTTCTGAAATAGTCCCATTGACCCTGGAGGAGAGAGTTTTTGTGAAACAGTCTCACGTGGCTCTGTAGAAGGTGAGTTATTCTTGTAGTTTTTGTCATAAGACTCAAACAAAGTAGTCAGCTTCTCCCGCAAGTTCTTCAACTTTGCATCACGTGTGGTCATATCAAGCTTCCCTAAACAGCATTCGACAATTGAAAGCTTAAATCGTGGGTCGAAGACTGCAGCCATTGCAAAAGCATCACTGACTTCCCCCCAATATTTTTTGAACTTCTCTTTCATCGGTGGCACCATGTCTCTGATAGTCTCATCTTCGCTGTACTCATTCTGTTGAAGCCAACTATGGATCTTCCAAACCTGATAGAAATACAAGTTCGCAGTAAGGTAATTTGAACCAGACATCAAGCTTGTAATCACCGCAAAAAGACCAAGAAAACAGCAAATATTGTCAGCTCTATTTCATTCTTCATGTGTGGGCGCCATCTTATACCCCTTCTTATCAAATGTCTCCAACTTAACAAATGGTTTACGGTACTTTAAGGCCCTTTCAAGCATGTAGTAAGTCGAGTTCCATCTCGTCGACACATCCAGTATTAGCCCCCCCCCCCCCCATTTTCATCTAAACCCGCAGCATCCACACATTTTTCAAATAAATTTTCACGCGTTTGCTATCCTAACACATACTTAACACTCTCTCTTACTTTGTGCAGAGAGTCTCCAATAACCTTCAACCCATCTTGTACTATGAGGTTCAGTATGTGAGCTGCACATCTAACATGGAATAACTCTCCGGCGCACAAAAAATCATCTCTCAAATTTAGCTGGGATTAGACAATATCTTGCATTGAGTCATTACTTGTAGCATTGTCTACAGTGAGAGAAAATACCTTCTTATCAACACCCCACTCTTTCAGTGTATCAAGGAAGCGGACCGCAATTTTCATACCATCATGTGGTGGAGGTAGAGCACAAAAAACCAGGATCTTGTTGTTCAACTTCCAATTCCGATCTATATAATGTGCTGTCACACACATGTATCCTTCCCGTTTCACTGATGTCCATAAGTCAGTTGTGAAAGACACTCGTCCAGGAAGACTCCCTAATTCCCTCTTCAGTGTGTCTCTCTCACTTTCATATAATTGATACACATCAGCTCTCGCTGTGTTTCGACAAAGGGTCTTGACATCAGCATTCAAATACTTCCATGTGTCTCTCACTTTTTCATACTCCACGTACGAGTAGGGTAGATCATGTTGTACTATTATCTTTGCTACCATCTGCCTAAACACAGCATGATCATACTTGCGAGGAACAACTTTGCCCTCGGGGTTGAGTTGTTGTTGACCATCTCGGTTCCTTGGATACATTTTACATCTACTACGATGCCTTCTCAACCCACTGGTTCCATGGGAATAGGAATGCCATGCATACTCATTCCTACAATGATTGCATGCAGCTTTCAACTTCCCACTGGCTTTATGTACCACCTTAAAATCGGTCAACACATCTGATCTTTGCCTCTCTTCCCTTTCCTCGTCACCGAGTTCATCACCATCATCCTCTTCTTCATCGCCGACTTCATCGTCAAAGTCAGGTATGTCCTCTACGACCGTCTCCTTCTTCTTTTGCGACTTAGTAAGTACGACCTTCTTCTTTGGTGATTGAGTAGGAACGGCCTTTCTTCTCCCTCCACGAATCACTGACTTCATAGGAACAGTCTTCTACACGCCTGTGAGGATGAGCCAATGCCACCATCTATAGTGGATTGCAACATCGGTTTCCTCGAGGCTGTTCCAAAAGAAGTCTTCCTGCGAGGCTTGGTTTTTTGAGATGATGGAGTGATCTCAACATCAGAATAATCAGTTTCATCTACAAGACTGATAAGCTTTCTTTTGCTTCCTTTCTTTCCAAGAACGCAAGCTACATCGTCTTCAGGGAAACGATCAACGTTTGTTCTTCAGCAACAAGCTTAGCTATGAGATTTTGAGTTTCCAAATCAAACTGTATCTGGTGGGACGTAGTTCGGATCAAACGTGTGATCTTCTGCGTCGCCTCTCGATCCCATGTTCTCTCTCTTAGGTTTTGCGGTTCTGGTGTTTTTTTTGGTCTCGTCTAGCGGTTTCTCTAAAACTGTTTTAGTTATTAGGGCTTCCTAAATTTTGTTAAAATTCTAATTAAAAAATTGTTTAAATTGTTTTTTAAATATTAGAAATTTTATGCAAGCACACATCCAATTATCCACGTAAATTAAAACCCTAAGCTACCGATAACCTATGATAAGCTACGTTCCACTTTCAGTGATTAAGTTACTCACCTTAGAGCTTCAGTTGTTTTAACTTGAATCTCCATTGATCCTGCTTGTTCATGATCACTCCATCATCTCGTTGCCTAGTAAAGACAAGCAATGCAACTCATTAAACAATCAATTCAAACAAATGAACTATCATATAAAAATAATTGTAACAAAATTAGAAATTAGATCACAAAACCATTGAGCTGAGTCTTGTCTTAACTTCGCACGGAATTTAGCCGCCAAGCCTCTGATCAATCACCCTTGAGTCCTTAGGATGATTTTTCAAAAGCTAGGAGGCTTAAATTCAGTGACCTAGTAAAGACAAGTAATGCAACACTCAGTTCAAGCAAATGAACAATCATATGAGCTGAGTCTTGTCTTAACTTTGCACGGAGTTTAGCCGCCAAGCCTCTGATCAATCATCCTTGAGTCCTTAGGATGATTTTTCAAAAGCTTGGAGGCCTAAACTCATGACCTAGTAAAGACAAGTAATGCAACACTCAATTCAAGAAATCATATTCAAATAATTTAACAAATTTTGGTCAGACATATTAATTGAAACAAATTTAGATCAGACATTTTTATTAACAAATTTAGGTAAGAAATATCAATATACTTTATACAAACAAACTAAGCAGATATAAAACAAACAACACAATCACAAAATCAATGAGCTGAGTCTTTTCTTAACTTCGCACGGAGTTTAGCCGCCAAGCCTCTGATCAATCATCCTTGAGTCCTTAGGATGATTTTTCAAAAGCTTGGAGGCTTAAACTCTGTGACCTAGTAAAGACAAGTAATGCAACACTCAATCATATTCAAATAATTTAACAAATTTAGGTCAGACATATCAATTTTAACCTAGTTCAATCTTGTCTTAAGTTCTCCCCGAGTTCAACCGCCCAGCCTGTGAACAATCACCCTTGAGTCCTTAGGATGATTTTTCACAAGCTGGGTGGTTTGAACTCGGTGACCTACTGAAGACAAGCAAGTATGATCAAACATATTATAAATATGAATTTTTCTATAATATTACTTAATTATATTAAATTATTAAACCTTTATAAATTAAATTATAATATTGAATTTTCTCAAAGTCAAACAAATTAAAATATTACCTTTGTAAATTATATTATAATATTTATTTTTTTAATATTAAAAACCTTTATAAATTAAAAAAATTATTTTTAATAAAAGATAATTAACAAATTTTTGAAGAACATGCAGGGACTCCTCGCCGGCAAAGAAGACAAACGAAGCACAAGAACTCCTCCCCAATGTAACTTGAATGGAAGCTCCGAACGAAGTACATGCAGGGACAAAATTAAAATTAGACATCATATAAATCAAAGAACATGCAGAAAAATACAGAGAGAAAATTACCTTCAGAGGAGATTGCATGTCGAACTACTCTTGCATGTACCTGAAATTTGGAGAACAAAGTTAGAGAATATTCAAACAACTATAAAGATTAAACACAGAGGCATCAAACAAAAAATTAGTAATAATCCACCGAAAAATAGTAATAATACACACCTAAAATACCTTCAGAGGAGGTCGGATGTCGAACTACTCTTCAACCACTCTTGCATGTACCTGAAATTTGGAGAACAAAGTTAGAGAATATTCAAAAAACTATAAAGATTAAACACAGAGACATCAAACAATACCAGATCCGTCGCATACATGGAGAGAGAACTCAAAACCCGTCAAGATCGATCAAGATGCGTGGAGAGAACTCAAGATCCGTCAAGATCCGTCGCTCAACAAGCCGCCGGACGATGGAGGTTCTTATTCTCCGGTGGAAAGAGTTTTAAGAATCAAGAACAACAAGATTCTTGTCACAGCTTTCGGGAGAAGAAGAAGAGCCTCCACCGTCCGGCGGAGTCTTTGCGAGTAACCGGAACCGGAGAAGAAGAGCCTCGCCGATCATCTCTTTATCTCACTCTCACTCTCTCTTTCTCTCTCTCTCTCCCTCTCTCTCTTTTTGTTTTTTTCAGGTCGGCTGAAATGGAATGGAGTCAAGGAAGCGGTACTTAGGGCGAACCGCGGTCTTCTTTGGGCCGTCCCGCATGAATCCCATGCCGCGAATGACCCATCCCGCTAGGCCCGCAATTCTGCGGGATACCAATTCCTAGGCCCAAACCCGCCCCGCCACAGGTTTTAACGGGCATGTCCCGCGGCCCAGTCCCTACTTTGACATCCCTATATAAGGATAATGTTTATATGTACTCTCTTCTTATTCCCTAGTTGATTGTATTAAGTTTTATTTTAAAGATTTAAGTAAATCATTACAACCGTTTAAATCTTCTGAGGAATTGAAAACTGGAAGGTTTACGGAAGAATTGTTGAAGCGTGTCGCTTTCAATTTGTTTTACCAATAGATATGGTGCTTATAAGACAACTATAAGCTTTTGAAAATCGTATGTTTATTCTATTACCTTTGGAAGTAAAATATCTCTAAACGTAAATAGAAGAATGAGAAACATTTTTTGGTTAGAGGTGGGCATTTTGGTTTTATTACGGATTCGGTTTGGGTTCGGTTTGGTTTGGATTATTTGGGTCTAAGAAATCTTTAACCAAAGTCAACTCATATTAGTTTGGTTTGGTTTATGTTCGGTTTCTTACGGTTTTAATTTGGTTTGGTTTGTGTTTGGTTTGGTTTTTGTTCGGTTTGGTTTGCGTTTGATTCAGTTTAATATGGTTTTGTTTGTATTTTTCAATTCAATCGAGTTGATTTTTTTAGTTTTATTCTAGTTCAATTAAAAATATATAATTTATAAAAACATTAACAAATCATTATTTGACACTAAATAATTGTTTTTCCATATTTAAACATAAAACCAAACATCAGAATAAATATGTAGAAGATGTAATCCAATAATTTTATATTATTATTTACCAACTTAATATAAAATTATAAAAATATTTGGTTTTGATGTTAATATATAGATTCATATCTTTTATTTTTGTTTATTCTATTCATTTAGAAGTAAAAGGTATAAATTATAGTTATTTAGGTTAAATGGTTAAATATATTATCTAATATTATTATTAGATTTAATTAATCTAATTAAAAAATACTTCGGTTTTTCGGTTTGGTTCGGTTTATAACCAAACCAAAATGAACTATTCGGATTGATAAAATCTTAAACCAAATGGTTTAGACATATATTTTGGTTTGGTTTGCATCGGTTTGAGTTTGGTTGGGTCGGTTTGGTTTGTTCGATTTGAGTTTTTTGCCCACATAATTTGGTATACATAATGAATGAGGAATAGACAAGTATCTGGGATTACTTAAACTGTCTGGAAATAAATAAATAATATGTTACCGTATGTTATTGATAAGATTAAATCACTAATGTAAGGTTGGAATAAAAAAAAGTTATCACATGGAGAAAAAGAAGTCCTATTGAAGGCAGTAACTCTTCGAATGCCTATATACTCGATGAACATATTTAGATTGCCAAAAGGCATATGTGAAGAGATCAATTGTATTCTTCACGGTTTTAGTAGAGTTCATGAGATGGAAAAGAATTACATTAGTATGCTTGAAAAATAATGTTTACCAAAGCGAGAATGAGATTTCTTGATTTGGAAAGTTTCAACCATGCCGTATTAGGCAAATAAGTGGGGATGGTTATACAAAAACCAAAATGCTATGCCACGGGTATTCAAGGCAATATTTTTACATATTGCACATTTTGACAGCAGTTCAGAAACAAAAACTTCATATGCATATAAATTAATCTTACTGAAAGAGATTTAATTAACAGAGTATGAGATTCATTATAGGAGAACACACTGCAATTAATATCTAGTGGATTCTAAATTAGCCATCAGGTCCACCAAGAGCAAGAAATGCTGTGATGGTTTGCAGTGATGGTTTGCAGTGATGGTTAATAGTTTCTTTATTGAGAATAGAGACAAGAGGAACATTAATAAATTAAGAGACGAGGTACTACATGAAGATATGGAGAAATTACTTGCAATCAAGATAAGATTGAAAGAAAATTTGGATTTAGTAGGAAGACATTACAATGAAGATCGTTTATATACAGTTAAATTTGGATATTTTTAAGCATTTATCTTCCAACCAACAATCATGCACTTCCTTCATATGGTAATGCAAGTTTGAAAGATAAGGTATGACAAAGTAAGCACTTCTTAAAATTAAATATTTTATAAAGAAGTTGTATTCCAAAACTCTGGTTACATGAAGTACTGTAAGGAGAAAACATATTACAATCGATGATTAATGTAAGGAATGTTATGCTACAAAAAACAAAGAAGGTTTTTTTTTTAATTTGTCTCAAAGCTCAAGGTCAAACACAAAACTAACTTTTTTTTTCTTTGCCCTATTCATCTTATATTATTTACGAAAAAGCCATTAAATTTTTTTTTTTCAAAATGACTTTTTTACTCTCTCAACCTCATTATTTTCAATTGTTTACAAGACTGTCATTGTCATCGATACCCCAACCACCATGAACAACCAATTTGAAGCATTTATGCACCTAAAATTGATTTACACTCTCTCCTTTTTCTAATTTTTATGGACTAAAAACAACATCTCTTTCACTTTATCGCCATATTCATCCAAAAAACTCAAGCTTTTGATTCAAAATTTTGTATGGTTGATAGAGCCATTCAATCATATTATTCTTGGGGGATTACTTTCGTTTGCGGTTCTAGGTGGTTGGAGAAGACTCTTTGTGCTAAGGAAATCATCTCACTAGTTTAAGGTATGAAATTGAAATTTTTCCAGATAT